CCTAATATGGGGCCCTTGGAACACCAGGCAGAGAGTGGGAAAATCTCTTCAGGGGGGACAGCTTGAGGTTCAATCAAAAAAAAAAAAAAAAAAAAAAAAAAAACTAAATTTCTCTGGACCTCTCAGACTGCTGATAGGAGTGGTAGGTTGGTAAAATCGTTCTGATAAAGCATCTGGCAGTATCTATTAAAGATGAACGTACATTTTCTTTATGACCCATCAGTTCCACTCCTTGGGGCATACCCAACAAAATGAATATATATAGTTGTCAAGAGAAGTATTTAAGAATGACCATGGTCAAACTTTTTTTGACAGTAGAATAAACTATGGTATATTCATATACTAGAATGCTACACAGCCGTGAGAATGAACCAACTGTAACTACATCTAACAACATGGATAAATCTTGCAAACCACTGCTGAGCAAAGAAAACCAGATGCAAAAAGATCTCATACTATATTATCCCATTTGTATAAAGTTCAAAAACAGGCAAAACTAATCTATTCTGTAAAAAGTCAAGAAAAGTGGTTATCTTTCAGAGGACAGCGGTAGGGGAGACCAAAGGGAATTTCTAGGGTCCTGGTAAAGTGATTCCTTGATTTGAGTACCAGTTACTCGGGTGGGTATGTTCATTTTGTGATAATTCATGTGGCATGCTTATGATTTATGTACTCTTTTGTAGGTAACACTCTTGGATAAAAGTTTTCTGAAAAAGTTACTGCTACTTCTCAAATTAATTTGTAGTTGTTTGCCAATATGACCCTACCCATTCTTTGGACTTAACTTAAAATCTGCACATTAGCAGTAAACCCTTGAGAGAACCAATCACAGATACAGAGATGGCAATTCAGGGGCAAGTGTTCTTTAATTTCCCAACCCCATGACCAAGGTCTGCACTAGCAAATCTAATCATGTAATTTCCATTTTTCCAATGGAAAATATAATTTCCAATTTTCATAAACAGGAAAACAGTTTATGTGTGTGCACTACTAATCAAGTTGACATAGAAGATGAAAGCTACTCACTTTCATCCAACACGACCCAACTGTGTTTCATGCAGTGCTTTAATATTAGGGAGTACACCCACTTCATGGGCACAGTGGAGGGGTATATAGCACACCTTTTGGGTGCAGGACACAACTAAAAGAGGGACTCTACCTAACAAACTCAAATATGTGAACTGGTTGGTTGGATCCTCACATTAGCCTGAAATTAAAAAAATAAAATTAGGGAGTATAAATAAATACTCTTAGTTAACTCTAAAAGCAAATCTGAATTCTAAAAGTTAAATCACAAAGCAAGTCTTGAAAAGTGAAGGCAAGTTCTGTGTAGGCCGTTTCCTTACCAGCTGTTCACCGTTGTAGTGACCTTCAATAATCCGATCATAGGAGATTCCAACAGGTATCACCAAGATGTCAGGGATGGTGTTGGTGGACAGGGTGTCCACCACAACTGACAACAGGCCCGCCCGAGCACAGGAGGTTTTCCCACTCCTAGAGCGTGTGCCTTCCAGGAAAATCTCCAAAAATTGCTGCTGTCGAAGTAGTTCGACTATATGCTGGGATGTAAGGAGAAAGGAGCACACGAATTCAAGACCACCCAACTTAGAATAAGCTCAGAAAAACTAAATCTTAAAAAGCAAGACAAAGATCCGTAACTTGACTACTGACAAAATATTTTATTCACACCATTAGCAAAGCAGCTCCTCCAGTGCTGTCTTTTGATGATAAAGAATAACCATCAAATTCCTCCCCAAGCAATAATCACTCAGATAGCAGCTTTTTAAAAAATGTCAACTCAATCAAGTATCTTTTTCTTTCCACTGGGATAACTAACATAATGGCTTTAAGGATAATTAGAGACGCACATACCCCATTAAGCAAAGCTCTATAGAGAATATCTTTCCGTCCATCTGGTGTTTCATCGAGCCTCCGTCGTATGAAAAAGCCCCCAAGCTTATGGATCAAGGTACTATAAATTCAAGAATGCATGAATTATTTACAAAGAAAAATGTAAAAAGAATATTCAAATTCCAAGCTATTTTCAAACATTTGCCAATTGGATATAAGCCACAAGAGCTGTCTAAACTACTGACAATAAAAATGCAAGCATTTCTTTTTTTCATTTTCCATGTTATTGACGTGTTTTGACCATTTCCATTATTCATCAGCCTTTGGAAGATCACTCTGTATAATGAAGTTCTATTACATCTGCTCTACGCCAAAAGAAGAATGCATGATATACACCCTGTAAAAGTGATAGCACCGATTTTAAGAGGATGATAGAACTTTTAAATTTTAAAACTCTGTCTAGGGTCTCTAGACACTGAACTTTAGACATCCTGAAATTTGTCCAGGGCATGTTTACTGCAAAACGAATGTGATATCACAAAAGCTCCTTAGCAGAAATTTTCTTAAATAACTATTGCATAAAGAGAGTCCCTACTAGAGAAAGGTAATTTTATCCAACTGAATGAAACCAAGCAAAACCATCTTTCCGAAACATGAAACAAAAATCTGTTACTTTCACACATACATAGGTCTAAAACAATTCTTTTTCTAATCTCATGTTTCTTTCTATAACACTAATGAATTGTGCTATGAAGTTGAAATTTTCTGAATTGACTTTTCCAAACTCACAATCTCTTCATATTCTTTTCAAATAGTGATACTAATATACATTTTTGGTATCCTCTAGTCACTACCAGGAGGCCATCATAAGATGTTGCCAAAGCTTAATGCCACTCTCTGTGAGTAAAACTCTGCAGAACAAATTCATAATGAGGGAGGTGAGCCATCTGCAAAACAACACACCCTGAAGAGTGGCACACAATGCGTAGGCTGGCATGTAACTAAGGAAAGCTGCAGATGAATGAGGTTATCGACAGTCAGCTGTCTGAGGGGAAGGGCTACGCAGTGACTCACAGAGAGCTCAGGAGAAAGCGGATTGTGAGAAATTATCAGTGTGTGTTACGCACTTCCAAGAGACCCTAGCTGAGCACCACACATAGAAGGAATGACTACATGAGTTATTCTTATTAAAAGAAATGCAAACTATTCTGATTACAAGAGAGACAAGTTTTCTCTAGATCCCCAGTGGAACAGTCCTCCCCACTCTAAGTCCTTATATTCACCAAGAACTTTCTGATAACTTTCTAATTCAGCTCCCCAGATTCCTTAATCCCTAGAGGGTGAACACAGACATTTTAATGCCAGGAAAAGCTTGGCTCAGCTGGGTGAATGTCACTGACGACTTGGATGAGCGGCTTCTCTTCAACTGGCCAGATGAGTCCAGTTAGCTACAGAATTCTGAAAGCCTACAGGGCTCTGCAAAAAGAGATCATGAGGCTGACGATGACATTTCACAGCACCTGAAGGTGACGAGTACCAACCACCTTGTGAGACTCTATCTGGACAAGCTGCCAGCCCAATTCCCTTCCAGTCTCTTTCCAAATCCATCCTCCTCTTATCTACTCACAGAGCAGACCTTAGAGATGATTTTGCTTTGAAGTTTTCAACTTCAGTTTCCCAAAGTGGGTCTTCCCCCTGTGAGTCTTCCTCCCACCTCCCCCTCTGTTGTACCCTACCAAGTTCAACCAGCACTGGGTCGTGTAAATTCAGCCTTCTAGGTATTTTTCAAAGCTATGCCCTCTTCTCCTTACTCCTACACTTTTAATTTACGCCTTCATTATCCTTTGCCTGAACTATTGTAATAGAATCAGAATTGATCTAACTCTTCCTAATCCAGAATAACCTTTCAGAATACAAATCCAAACATGTCATTTCTCAAGTACAGAATAGATAGTAAAGTTTCAGCCTAGAAATTGTTCTGGTCTAGCTCTCACTACCTAAGCAGCTACCAGATCCAGCCTCTGATCCTTCCAAATGCATCCTACGTTCTAAGATCAGCTAACTGCCCACCACATGCTCCTCAATCTCTCTGCATTTGCACATACTGTTTCCTCTCAATAGAATGCACTGCATTCCCCCTGAAAACCTCTAAAAAAATACCTTTCACGTTATATTGTACTCTTTACATGATTCTAACTCTTGTACTATGAGGTCAAAGTAACAGCTATGGGGTGGCACCCATAGCTCAGCAGGGAGGGCATCAGCCACATACACCGAGGCTGGCAGGTTCGAACCCAGCCTGCGCCTGCTAAAATCAACAATGACAACTGCAACAAAAAAAACAGCCAGGCGTTGTGGCGGGTGCCTGTAGTCCCAGTTACTTGGGAGGCTAAGGCAAGAGAATTGCTTAAGCCCAAGAGTTTGAGGTTGCTGTGAGCTGTGATGCCACAGTACTCTACCGAGGGTGACACAGTGAGACTCTGTCTAAAAAAAAAAAAAACCCAAAGTCACAGGTATGGTTATTCTCAAGTACCTGTATACCGCACCACTACCACCACATCCAAGGGCCTCACTCCCTCACACAGACGACTCCTTTCTGCTGAGCCTGGGAAGAGAATCTGCCATTCTGTCTTTCTAGCTGCCCATCGTTCATTTGACAAATGCTGCCCATAAAGTCTAGGTAGTCACAGGTCACCAAGTATCTCATAAAAATACATTAATAATATTAATAGTCTTATTGCTATTTTTGCACTTTCCAAATTTTAAACAATATACATGTATTACTTTTATAATAAAAAGGCTAATGTCATTTTTACAATTACATATATCAAAAGGTATAATAAACAAATATTCAAAACATAATCTTTTTAATACTTTAAATGCCAAGATAGGCTGATCTTACCTGAAGATTGGAATGTTGAGGTTGTTGCCTGAGGCGATGTATGGCGCTTTGATGTTATGGCAGAAGAGGATGAAGGTGAGCAGCAGATAGTCGATGTGGGATCTATGAACTGGCAGGAATATAAGCGGCAAATTCGTCTAATAAGGAGAAAAATGACAAATTTAAAATTCAAATGTAAAGTTGGATTCAACTTTGCAACTGCATATTTGGTTAGAGTCAAACACTGGCTAATCAGCAACTCAATCTTTAAAAATATTTTCCAATAGGGCAGCGCCTGTGGCTCAGTAAGTAGGGCACTGGCCCCATATACCAAGGGTGGCAGGTTCAAACCCGGCCCCGGACAAATTGCAACCGAAAAATACCCAGGGGTTGTAACTGGCACCTGTAGTCCCAGCGACTTGGGAGGCTGAGGCAAGAGAATCGCCTTGGCCCAGGAATTGGAGAGTTGGAGGTTGCTGTGAGCTGTGACGCCACAGCACCCTACCAAGGACAATAAAGTGAGATTCTGTCTCAAAAAAAAAATATGAATAAATATATTTTTTTCCCAATAATATGAACTTCTTTTAATTTAACACTTACAAAGCTAAAAACAACTGTAACAATAGGAATGAGTTGGAGAAAAAGAGTAATCAAAAGTTCAGGTTGACCCTATATACACATATATACCCCTTCCTCAAGGCAGCCCTACTCTTGTAAAAAGAGCATAGGTTTTAGAGTGAGGCTTCACTTGGTTTGAAATCGGGGGCAAGTTATTGCTTGTCTGCAACCAGATAATTTAATTCTCTATCAGTGGCTTTATTTCCTCATCTGGAGGTGAAGGGTTGTTCCACCAGATTTTCAGGGGCACTGCAGGTCACTTACAAAAGGAATCCTGCTTACTGCTGGCAGGGCCGCCTTTACTCCACTTCTCCTCCTCAGATACACAGTTACCCAAGTCATCACAGAAACCTCCCGAATGGGTTGAAATGCACACCAAGATACAAGAGAACATTTCCCCAGAAAACTACAAAATCACCCTGTGAACATGAGAAATGCAAGGATAGATTCACAGAAATTCTTGCCTCGGTTGCAGCTTTAACCATTTCAAGTTGACCCTTGTGAATCTGAATGTTCCAAAAGAAGCTGTTGAACAGTTTTAGCAGCACCCACCCAGTCAGTCTGAAATTAAAAACAAAACATTTTTAATGTGCATACGTGTATTTAGAGGGAGAGAGGGAGTTGGCTTTTGTCTACTTTTATTACAAAAGTAATACCTGTTTATAGAGAAAGGGAGGGAGTTGGCTTTTGTCTACTCATGTGTATCTGAACTGCAGAATTGGAGAACTTTATATTAATATGTGTACTACTTACAGAAGTATCCATTATGGACTAAAATCACATTTCATGCTATAACACTGTATACTGCAGAGATGAATGACCAAGGCAACTGAGTAGCGAACAGAGTAATCCTTCTAAACCACTCCCTTAGGACACAGATATACGAAACTTAATTCACAACTGGTCTAGGAGAGCAGATGTTGCAACAGGAATACACTGGCTGCTATCAATTAGCAAAGATGAGGCACCTTCAAGCCTACCACAGTGCTACTTCGCAGGGAAGCTGAATAAGAACATAAGAAATAGTTGAGTTTACATCGGGATATATTAAAACATATTGTGGACAAAGAGCACTGTGCTAGGAAAGAAAAATCCATGACTCGGTCCTATTCGTTCAAATCAGGATGACTCCTCGAAACCTTTATGCCTCGCCTCTTAATACCTGATCATCGATGGTGAGACAGTGGCAACCATTTCTTGAAGGATCCTTTTGGCTTTCTTTTTCACTTTATTGATGGCTTTTGATTGCTGCTGGGTAGAACCGTCAGGATTTAATTCAGCGGCCACCTGTGCAATTGCCTCTTGTACTCTAGGTTGAAAAGGTAAAAACAATGTAACTAACTCTGTGCTACAGTCTATGTTCAGTATTTTCCAAACAGTGCTACAAATACCAAACAAAATTCTCTTTAATATGTGGTAATAGGACAGAATAAGCTCAAGTTCAAAGTGTTCTTTCTAGCTCTCAAGTAAATATTAAATCAATGAATCTCTGAGGAATCTGGACAGCAGACTTAAGAACTTAATTCAAATTCCCAGGGTGACAATTGTGTGAACTTTAATGTTTCGGTTATGCTGTGAGGGACACAAGGTTGCACCATAGCAGAAGAAAGAAAAAGAAAGGTTCTCCCTTTAGGCATAGAGTTCAGTGATATTCAGAAACCTGCTGCCAAAGTAATGGGTGGGTTTTTTTTGAAGACCTAATTTACTATTGATTTTATTGTGACCCCATTAGTAGAATTATATATAAAACTCTCTGGGAGGGATCAAAGAGAGACATAAATATTAATAATTATTTTTCAAATCAAACTATTAATTTTAAAAAGGCACAGCTCAAGATAAAAACAGCACAGCACAGAGCAATACGCAATTAAGTAAAAGGAAAAGTTTAATCGAGTTTTATAAATCTTCTACTTGACTTATGGGAAAAAGCAGGAAGTTAGACCTCCTCAAACCACTTCTAACATCCTCGTCATTAGTCAAAACATCTGGATGGAATGAGGCATACTTGAAGGTTTTAACTAGAAAACAGAAAATACAATAATCCAAAACTTCAAATAATTGTTTTCTCCCACTAGTACTACTACTAACTTTAGATTAATGAAGTACAGCAAAATTCCATATACACCATAATTCATAGGTACAAAAAGAACAGTTCCACAGGACCCCATGCCAAGACTATTGCCTGAAAAGCATTTGTTGCATTCTTTGAAATATTTTCACAAATAATTAACATGACTGTCATAGCTCCATTATCAACTACTAGTTCATTCATTCCATAACTATTTCTTGAGTATCTACTATGTGCCAGCACTGGTCAGCTCTTTTTTTTTCTTTTTTGAGAGACAGAGTGTCACTTTGTCACTCTCGGTAGAGTGCTATGATGTCACAGCTCACAGCAACTGCCAGCTCATGGGCTTAGGCGATTCTCTTGCCTCAGCCTCCCAAGTAGCTAGGACTACAGGCGCCCGCCACAGTGCCCTGTTATATTTAGAGACAAGGTCTCACTCTGGCTCAGGCTTGTCTGGAACCTGAATCCACCTGCCTCAGCCTCCCAGAGTGCTAGGATTACAGGCGTGAGCCACCACACCCACTGTTCAGCTCTTTTAACCATACCACAGGGTCTATAAATGACACCTGTGGATTCAAAGCAACCTTTTAATTCACCCTAATCTGCTGCTCCTCCAATCCAGACAGATCTCTAAAATGGCCCAGACCAACAGTGGAACTGAACCACTTTACTCAAACTCCCATATTCTGGAATATTAATCTCCCATTCCATCTGTGTTCAAGTCAGTCAGCTCCTCTAAGAGCAAGGACAGTATAGTATCTTATTTTGCTAAGGTTTCTAGCAATGACTATCTAGTAGAATTTGTACCTAGATACTCTGTAACTGTTCGGCAAAAATATCACACTCCTCTTCTAGCTATAAAATAGAAAATGCAATGTCTCCACCATTCCTACTAGAGAAAAGGTAACAGAGAACCCTGGAAATACATGCATCTCTGAACTTCCACTTGCCTCTCATGTTTTAGAAACCCATTCAATTATTAACCCATAAAATAAGACCACACACGTGGCACCGTTCACCAAAACTGTCTGTTCGCCTGCTTTCCTTGGTTTCCTTTGGAGTTTAACATTTGTTTAGCAACTAAAGGTTACTAAAGAGAATTACTTCCCCCTCCCACACCCTCTGCCCGCCTTCACACCAGTGCCCAGACCTCACCTACTGCTGTTCAGCACATTTTCAGCCACATTGGTGGCAAACATGCCCTTATGGACATCTCGCTCTTGAACAAAAAGAACATAGGAAAGTCGTCTTGCAAGCCATCCCCGGTGCCTGCAATGTGAAAATGAGTTAGCAGAGAAGGACCCTAGGCACACCTAAATCAAGTTGTTTAAAATATACACTGGTTTTCTACCCACAAAAACAAAGCTTAATGGCACTTATTCCTGAGATTTAGGGGGTTTTCTATAGGAAATTCTCCTTAGTAGTGGAGGATGCTATGCAGCCAATTTTATTCATAATTCCTTTCATGTATTCTTAGCTAAAAATCAAAACTTTTTTGTTTTAAATTTTGTTGTTTTGAATTTCTGAATAGTGTTCACTGTGCTAAGTAACAGCCCTACTACAAAAACAAAAGAAACAAAACATCTGACTTTATTAATATCACTGAAAAGGCAAATATGTACCATGTTAGACATAAGACAGATAGATACACAGATAGATAGCTTATAGCTATGGGTTATAAAAGGATAAAACTGAGAATATTTTCCTATCATCAAAGGCTAAGTATTGTATTATTATAGTTTTTTTCCCAAGACAATCAGTCATCACTCTCCAATCGACTGTGTGAAGGAAGCCGAGCACAACTGGGCTGTGGTCAGAATGGTTGTGCTCTGGGCTTCCAGGGCCAGAAGGGTTCTTTCTTTATACTTTTGAGATACCTAAGGGATAGGACACATTCCTGTCAGTGACAGTGGCCACTTGGTGTCTAGATGACGAAGAGATGGAGCTCAGAATACCTGGTAAGAAGGCTACCAAACCCTCATCACGTCGTGACTTGAACCCATTTGTAATGAGTACATAACAGCTGCTTTACCATTCATTTCCTCCACAATGATTCACAGCATAGGCAGTAGCAGATTTCAAATAAAAAAATCCATTAACTCTGAAAAGATCCAAAAAGCCTCAACTGGGGGAAAGTAATGTAAGAGAGACTTGTTTACGAATCACCTGTTCCTTCCTTTCTCCTTCCTGCCATTCCCTTTTTTTTCTTCTTCTCCTCCTTAATCTCAATCCTCTGAAAATGTGGCCCAAGATGTTAAGTGTTAATTCTAAGTTCTTTCTTAAGCAAACATTTTCAGAAGTATTACTGGAACGTACAAAGTCCAAGTTTGCTATGAAATCCCCTTCAGAAAGCTTTGTTTTTATGTGTGTGTAGAAACATTCAGGCTTTGCTTCACATAACACATGAAAGGGCTAAACAGGTGCACAGACAGCACAGGTCACTGAATAGCTTCACAGTGCCCGGTCAGTACAGTCAATGCCTCTACCTGTGTCTAACTGACAGCAACAAGCGCACCTGTTGGCTTTACACATAAAACACTCATACACAGAAGAAGGGACTCTAGAGTCCTTTCCTTAGGATCTTAATCATGTCAACCAAGAAAAGAAAACACAGAAAGGGAAAAAAAGAAACAAAAAACAATGGACCAGAGCCTCTCTCCTCTTTTTTAAACTGAAGACAGAGAACAGTAGCCTAGGAAAGGGGAAAATATGTCCTATGTCTTTGACTTTAGTTCTTTTTTAAAAAAAATTTACCATATATACAAGTATTATCATTCTCGTATGTAATCTCATCATCAAATTGTGAAAAGTAACATCGAAAAAGTTTTAACTCTAAGTATTTTTCACAGAATTTCAAGTATTTCTCATCAACTGAACCTACCTGCTGTTCAGGAACCTACTGCTCAAATTACAGGGACTGGCAGTACTTTGGCTGCCGCTTCTCCTGCCTCACAGCCTTGCAGCCCTCCTTCCTTGTCCTCTAGCCTAGATTCAGATAAAACAAAGGCCCTCTCCTCCCACTCTGCTACCACTAGCCCATCCCCAAATGCCTGGAATTTGGAAGAATTCTATGAAAAGTCTTAGGTGAAGATTAAATCAAACAACATTTGCTAAGTAGAGAAAAATATCTTCTAATACCCTACAGATTAGGCAGATTTTAATCACATATACTTTTTTGTAAAGTATAAAATAGTCACAATATATCGTAAATCATTCAAACATACATGTCCTCTTAGACAAATATTTCCCAGATTGTGGCACACTTCATACGCAAAAATCAATATATGAATTAAATCAAAGAACACTACAAGTGACATCTATACTCTCATGAAAATATTTATAACAGCAGCCATGGTAACAGTTAATGGGCCTCTCTAGTGCCTATATGACTTTCAATTTTTAGATAAAGCCTCTTCTGTCCAAAATATGTATTCTATTAACAGCCAAAAACATAAAGAAATTCATCTTACAGTGTGTTAATTGATGACTATGGTGTTTTATTTTTGGGATTAGAAGCAGAAGAAATTTCTTTTTACCTTGTGTGAGTTTCATTGATATAAATAACATTCCGCAAACCCAAAGACGGGATACTGGGGTTGAAAAATTTATCCTGTAGAAAACAAAGTAAATGTAGACATAAACGCACAACTCGATTGATGGTGAAGAGCTCACATTCCTAGTTCTTAACGACTGAAAATCTAAGCATAAAGTTAGAATTGCTTCAAAATCTAAGTGATGAAGGAATATGTTTCATTGCAAAGTACTCTGCAGCCTTCAAAGAAATCCACAAACTCTTAATTCCTAAAACCTTAAATCAAAGGAAATAGTGCCTCTCCCCTTCCTGCCCCACTCCTCACCTCTATGATGAAAGGGCTGAAGCTACAGGGAATACCAGAGATTTCAGTATTCCCAAAATGCAGAGAGACTATGCTAAGTGCCACGCAACTGACGTTAGATCACTAAATCTTCCAATAATCCTGATGCATAAGAATTCTTATTCTCATTTTATGGGGGGGAAATTTGAGGGCAGCAGGGGTTTAGGAGTCAATCTCAGATCTTACTCCAAAGAAGAGTCTTCTATTCTCCTAAAATAACTGTCCACTTAATGAGAAAATGTACAAGTTATTCTCTTTACAGGTGATCTTGAAAGATAATCCAGAAACAGCTCTGCTGAAAAGAGAAAATCTATAACTTTATCCATGGGGGCAAAAAGGTAACTGTTCCACAGAAGCGTGCTGGATAAAAACATGATATACCCTCAAAAAATATGTAAAAACACTTAAATCTTAGAGAAAAGGAAAACAGAATTTTAGAGAAAGAATAACAAATATCAAAAAGTTACCATAAAAATATTTTTTAATGATTTTTGGGGTTTGGTAGTGACAGGGTCTCACTATGTTGCTCAGGCTGTTCTCAAACTCCTAGCCTCAAGTGGTCTTCCAGCCTCAGCCTCCCAAAGTGCTGGGATTACAGGTGTGAGCCACCATGCCTAACCTAAACAAATTATTTTAAATGAAAATGCCATAGGAAAAGTTCAAGATCAAGTTCAGCTGCATCAGGGACTACATTTCAGCAAAAATCAATTACCTGTTACTCTAATCTATCCCCATTCCAAACCATCCCCATCACCACATAATTTCCTATCTTTCCTCTGAGTTAAGAAAACATTGTAGTTAAGGTTTGTTCTGAATAAACATTCAAAATTAGAATAACATGATATGCCAGATCTAAAAAGAAAAGCACATGACCTTCTAATTAAATCTTTATTTCCGCTGGCCTATTAAGCTAAACTGGCCTTACTCCTAGACTAGACATTTCCATAATCCTTCAATTTTACCAAATTCTTGCAACATGGCACTTGTGGTTTGAGAGAAGCAATGTTTGTAACAAAACCTTGTTGAGCAGACCTGAATATCTAATGTTGTAGACTGCTTGGGTTCTACACAAATCTCTCCCACGTTAAAAAAAAAATCCCTTTATAATAGACTCCAATTCTATTTCCTGCCAAGCCAACCCTGAGCCCTGAGTAGAAAATCTACACAGCACAGCTATTCATTCAGGTTGCAAGCAGCCTCCATAAATGGCAGGCACTTAAATGGGAGAATTTCTACATCCGAGTAACTAGCCCATCCCACAGAGAATATAACATCCAGATATACCTTTTAAAAGGTAACTCCACTGCCTTAGAACACAGCCACATGAAATTCTACCTACCTGAGCTAACTCATCCCATACATACCCTTTCTTAAATGTCCATCCTGACATTTCAGTGACCATCCTTCACTATTGCAAAGTCAACAGGTGCTCCCCAGAAACAGAAAGTTAGCAAAAGCTAAGAGGAAAGTCACACTTTAACTTCTTATCCTAACCTATTATTTCTCACTTTAACTTCTTATCCTATTTCTCTTTCTCATCTTGCTAGGACTTTAATGTGAAGTGCTGAAGTTCACTTCTTATCCTTATTTCTCTTTCTCATCTTGCTAGGACTTTAATGTGAAGTGCTGAAGTTCAACACCCAGAAATTACATGAAGATTCCCCAGAATACTATGGAAGAGTTAACCAAAAGTAAGATCTACTCTTACCCTAAAGTCCCACTAAAACTACAAAAGAGCTAGCATAGTACCTAGTATCAATTACGGGACCAATATTTACTGAACAAATGAATGAAAAGAAAAATTGAGTTGACATCTTCATTTGGAATATTTGGTTCCGTTCTAACAGTGAATAAAGTCCATTAAGACTATCAGCTACACGGTCGGGGGGGAAGAACAACATACTACAAATTCACAAAGTTGGAAATCTGCGTCACAGACTTCGCTGTTTATTAGGATCAACAAGCAGTAATTTTCTTACCCAGCTCTGGGGAGTGCAGGAATAACAGCATCTTCCAACAAACGGCCTCTTCCTGCTCATGAGGCTTTCTTTCCATTTTAAAGTGGCAGATCTGAAGACGGTAGGGCTAAACCCACACTCACCCTAACAAATGTCAAGGAAAAAAACAGTGTCTAAATGGCAAGAAAATTACACTTGTTTACTTGGCCTCTAAAACCAAGATATTTCAGATAGAAGAGAAACCTATGGCGTATTTTTCTTTTGGACATATAACCACGTGTGTCTCACACAGTGACTGCCCTTGAAGAACTCCCTCCATGGTCCATACCTAGAAAAAAGCTGGGCACATAAGCAGAAGTTGATGACCTAAGAATAGTAATAGCTACTAAAATAACAATCGCTACATACTCAAGGCAGTTTTCAAAGGTTTACATGCGAGGTTGCAGAAGGTGAAAGGTCAAATGGACTTCTGACAAAGGGATTAAGTTCAGATTCCTGGATCCCTATCCTAACAGTTAACCTTACTACCTTTTAAATCACACACTTTCACAATAGTATTATAGAGGCTTTATTTTTTATTTATTATTTTTTTTTTGAGACAGAGTCTCATTATTTCACCCTCAGTAGAGTGCCGTGGCATCACAGCAACCTCTTGGGATTAAGCGATTCTCTTGCCTCAGCCTCCCAAGTAGCTGGGACTCACAATGCCTAGCTATTTTTTGGTTGTAGTTGTCACTGTTGTTTGGCAGGCCCAGGCTGGATTCGAACCTACCAGCTCCAGTGTATGTGGCTGGCCCCTAGCCGCTGAGCTATAGGCGTCAAGCCTATAGAAGCTTTATTCAGTGGTTCTCAACCTGTGGGTCTCAACCCACAGGAACTGTATTAAAGAGTTGTAGCATTAGGAAGGTTGAGAACCACTGCTTTATACGGTGAGCAAGTTGTTACACTACAGCTAAGAAAATTTTTTCTGTTTTGGAGACAGTCTCCCTCTATTACCTAAGGGAGAGTACAGTGGTGTCATAGCTCACTGGGTTCAAGCAAACCACCTGCCTAAGCCCCTCTAGTAGGAGATTACAGACCCATGACACAATGCCCAGCTAATTTTTCTATTTTTGGTAGAGACGGGGTCTAGTTCTTGCTCAGGCTTGTCTTGAACTCTTGGCCTGCGTGATCCTCGCACCTTGGCCTTCTAGAGTGCTAGGATTACAGGTATGAGCCACCCTGGCCAAAATATTTACTTTAAATAACAACAAGGTAAACTTACATAACATTCCTTTATCTTATCAAGACAGTCTAAAGCCTAGAATTTAAATTATGGCCAGACTGCTTAAGTAAGATCAAATTCTGCTCTTCTGTTCTAAAATTTTTTTCTTAACTTCGAGCTCATCAATTGCTCAGACTTCCCAGATATAACTTTCTCAACCCTAAATGCAAGAATGCCGTTTTTACATAAAGCAGATACTGTTTGAGATAAAATTTAAAACATGCCATGCTATGTTGAAATAGGGAAAACACAGGAAAATGCACGCTCTTTGGATTGAATTTATACTATAACTTCTTATCTTTAATTTTTTTAAAGTTTACTTCCATTATACAACTCATGTTTTTTAAATATGACCTATGGGAAGTATTTACCAAAAGGGGAAAAAAAAAAAAAACTTACACCACCTAAAAAACCTACTAGGATTTTTTCCTCTGCAAAAACATTTTCACTTTTTAACATAATCACTGTACATAAATTTTCTACCCAATTTTTTCTTCCCAATTAAAATAATGCCATAAAGTAAAACATAACTTTTAAAAGGAGCAGTTTCTGTAGCTAGCTATTAATCTCTATTTGGTATTATACTGCTGTCAGCATTGCCACTTTCATAACACTGAAATGAAGATTTTTAGGTAGAATGCTTTTAACGCTTATCTTAAACTTACCCATTCCTCACTTGTGTGTTTACATCGACCAACACTGTACTCTGATGAATTTGGCAGATAAGAAACATCTATTGTGCCAAGGGTCAGTGCAGATTCATCCATGTCACAACGTATAACTCCCAAATCATGTGCTATAAAAAATATATATACCATTTCAGTTCACAAGGAATCCAGAGAGTAAATACCAAAACTCAAAATTCTGACTTCTACATTATTTCCCCCTATAATAGGATATTATAGGAACTACCGGCAGACTTCTGCCATGTTGAGTCACAGTGTAAAAACTGCCTTTGAAACTCAAACTGCCTTGATGAAAAAAAAGTTAAAAAACCAACATTTGCATCCTAAGATTCCATGAATTTATAAGGATAGAACATTTGTATTCTTAGACCTTCCAAACAAAACAGCTATGAATAGTCATTTGTAAGTGTAAATAAAAGCGTATTTCAGGTGTTTTTGTTAATATTTATACTTGAACAGCTCCTGGGAAAATGAAGGCATGCATTTATTTAATTAAATATATGCTATATGGATGCATACGTGTAGATAACTTTATGTACTGAGAATTTTTTGCTCATACATACTTATTCAGTGAAAAACAAATAAAGGCAATTAGGGTACCGCTAAAGTTTCACCCTTAAACTGAATTAAGCTCTTAAGTTCCTTGTGATGCTGTAAAAGAAATAATACTTGCGACTGAAATACATCTACAAAGCTCTAATAGAAAAGTACACTACTTTGACATATCTGTTAAGTTTTCATTTTTTTTCAGTAAGCCTTTTTCTACTCTAAAAGAAAATAAGGGTAAATAACTATAATAGATATTAACCTAAAATATAAAAACTTTTTCACATACTCTCCAGTCTCAAATTATTTTTGCTTTTGGTTATTTCTCACTTGGCCTTAAATTATTCCTTTACATAAATCCTGAAAGGTCATGTCCAAATTTACAGTGTTCCTTGGAGGGTATATTTCAATTTCTTTACAGTCCCCATATGGGTTTGCAGCCATAACTGTCAGCCTCTGCCTAACTACATTATGTCCTTAACAATTTCACATAAGTAACAATGTAACATTAACGGCCAGAGGAGAGAATGGTAAACCAATGCACCTGGGATGACAGTTCTTCTGTTACAAAACTTCAGTCCTCAGCTGTCAGTTTCGGGGGCAGAATGTCCATAGAACAGTGGGAACCCGCTGCAGCCTGAGAAAAGGAAGTGATGAAGGGATGAGACGAGGAAAGAGACCTGTGCCAATACGAAGTCCACGTTTTGCTCCTCCTCCGTCCCTGGAGTTTGCCTAAGGTCAAGAAGCGTTTAAAAAAAAAAAAAAATCCCCCTTGGCACCTGGCAACCCCGGCTAAGGATAGCAGATTTTGGGACCTGTAAGGGACAGAGGCAGAACGGCCAGCTTTGACATTTAAATCCCCCATTGTTTTTCACAGATAGTGAACTTGTATGCCTCGGTTTCCCCATCTGAAAACGGACATAGCATGATAGTTCTGGGTTGCAGGGAGGTGTGAATGATACCATAAAGAGTCTAGCACAATGTGTGACACACGGTGAATGCTCAGTCCTATCAATGGTAGCTGCTGTCATTGGATTATTCCCCAGCACCGGCTGCTCTCAGCGCACACCAGCTGCCCCGATGCTCCCGCGGACCCGGGCGGGCTGGCTAGCAGCGCCTCCGTCCCTTCGGGTGCTTAGAGGAATGGGTCGGTAAGGACTCCCTCCTGTCCGGAGGAACCCACGTGGTAGCCTGATCTCCCCCCCAGAGAACAATCCCGACCCCCACCCCTGCACGAGCCCGGCCCATTTCTCGGAGCAACGCCGGAGCTCGGGGAAGGGGGAAAGGGCAACACGATGGCCCAGGCAACTTGCAGGAGTCGCGCCAGGTTCACGCACCTGTCCCGGCGCCCCCGGCCGGAGCAGCCTCCCGCAGCCCGCACCCGCCCCGGCAGTTCGCACCCCACCGCTCCAGCTTCGGCTGCGGCAGGTGCCGGCACTTCAAGTCCCGGCCGGCGCCTGCTGCGCTGGCGCAGCCTGATGACGCAGCGGCGCGCGGAGTGACGTCACGGCCGCCGGAGCGGCTCCGGATCGGCGACGGGGGCTGGCCTGGTGACCTGGGGCGGCCGCGGGTGTGCACGCGAGTGTGTGCGGGGCTAAGGTTGGTGTGTGAGTGCCTAAACGAATGGTTACGCTGCCTGGGCGATGCGTGCGCGTGCGTGCGCGTACTCAGTCTGCCTTGTGTGAACTCACGTTATCAGGGAGCCTGTATCTCTGCCAGGCTCTGTTGGGAGTGTGGGAATGGGCTGTCGTTGTATTAGATTTTTAAGACTCTGCAGAATCATTCAGTCTCTGCAGATGGACCAAACAGGGATTGCAAGTGCCTATGTTGTATAATTTCTGTAACAATGCCTGAGTTCCTGCCCTTTAAATAGGAAAATGAGGAATGAAAAAAGACGCAAATCAGGCTTAGAGAATACAAAGCTTCAATTAGACTAGAATTGGGTTTCATTGAGGAATAAGGGTGTTTTTTTTTTCTTTGAAATACAGAACATGCCAAAATAACGTATACACATTTTAAGAAAGGAAAAAATGGCCTTAACATCTTAATACTCAATAATACGCATAAATGATGAAATACAAGTCACATTTGAGCACCTCTTGTAATTGCAGAAGTCAAATGTGAGTTGCATATTAACAACTCACATGTAATAGTTTTCTTTCTTAAAACGTGTATACATATATTTGGTGCATCCCTGTGTATTGCACAGCATGGCGATTATTGATAATAATGTATTTTGCATTTCAAAATAGCTAAGAGTACACAAGAAATAAGTATTTGAGGTGGTAGATATGTTAATTAGCTTGACTTAATTATCCCACCTTGTATTCATAAATTACAACATCTAGTTATACCCACTAAATATATACAACTATGATTTTCTAATTTACAGCTAAAAAATTAAAAAGGGGGAGGGCTTGAAAGAATCAAAATTGGTAAACCTCTAGCCCTTCAAACAAAACAACACTGGGCATGAAAAGGTTCTTTCACAATATTTGTCATGCCATTGACAAGGCCAGTGGTTATCAAGAGTATTAGAATTTACAAGAAAAAAGATAAACTTTTATGTGCACTCAAGCAACAAGCATTAAGTATGAATTAGGATCTGAGAATACGAATAGGAGTAAGACATAGCCTCTACCTTCAAGGCTCTGCCACCAGTTCTTGTACCTCCTGCACATACTAATCATAATCCCCTATTCAGTACAAATATTCCTGTATGTCCCCCCCAATCAAAAAACATCCATACTCCCTCGTAGATTAAATGCCTGCACCAGGCATATATAGCCTCCACAGAGAGGCCTCTACAATTCCCACTCTTTTCCGGCAGGAGCCCCTTCTCTGATTGTCTTGAGACAAGCCATCGGCACTTGTCCTCCTAATTCTTCTATACCACTCCCTAAAATTTTACAGTGCTTTCCTAAACTAGTTTTAAGCCTCCCCAACTTCTCTGGCCCTCAATAATCACACTCTCCTCTGAAATCTTCTCAGATTGTCTACGGTACCACACCTTGGGTCTTTCTCAATTTTTATCAGTCTTCTACAAGATTACAGACTCATCATGTCAGTCACTTGTCTCAGTCTCCTAGTTAACACCACAGTATGCTGTTGTAGTAAGCACTCCATAAATACATGTTGCAGCTGAGAAACAAGAAAAGCAAGAATTCCTTCTCCTGAACTTTCTACTTCTGTTTATAAATACATCCCCAAACACAATGGATCTCCTCTTTAGAAATAATCCAGTTCTATAGATTATTGGCCCCTTGCACAGGGAAAAAAAATAAAAAACAGAAGAGAGAAGCAGAGAGTCTTAGAGTTTGAAACCACTGCTAAAGAGAAAGTAACAATAAATGAACTAGAGCACATATCACAGGAATTTTAAAATGTAAGCCACAGGGGAAAATTCCATCGTCTTTCCTGCAGTACATTTGTAGGCAGTTCTTCTGCAACACCCATGGATTGCAGGAGCTGTGCATTACAATGCTAGCTGTTCCAGGTTACCTAATGAGAATCGTTTTGGAAACAGGTGACACCCTCTGCAATCTATTTTATCAACAGAGCAACAATAATTTATAGTAATTTAATCTAGCTAGCCAAGATAGAGCAAAGGACTAAATTTACTGTCTTGCCTAAAACAACTAAAAACAAAAACAAGCAAATATAAAACAATGGCTCTTTAATATTGAACATCACGTAGCAGTGCTGGACAGTAGTCTATAAGAGAGTAAAACTCAATGAAGTGAGCTCTATGATTACCTTCGTTTACTACCTAGAAAGAGTTGCTAGGCTGCCCTACTAATAGGAGGAGTCCAGGAAGAGCTTATTAGACTCCCCTGATTGAAGTCGTAGAACTGGGAGACCAGGGAGGCCAAGGAGGCTGGAGCTGGGAGTAGAATACCAGAGAAGAGAGAGCTACACAGGGAGCTATGGAAATCTGCAGAAGATCTCATTCCAGTTTTCATGTGTGTCAGTAAGCTACCCAAGGCCCGGGAAGAACCATATATAGAAAGAAAGAAAAAAGTAACAAAAGCTCGCACAGGAATTATTACTGTTTCCACATGGTAGAGCGGAAAATTACTTGGTGATTATACAGGACCAGGAATAGTGCCTCATCATGGTACCCAGACTGGAAAACTCCATCATTCATGTTTCAAATGGTTTTGCTTCAGTAGCAGGGCAAAATTAGCTCTAGGGCAAATGCGACTTTGGTCTTACCTAACAAATCTTAAAAGCCAGCCCCCAAACGATTAAACCATTTCCAAGAACAAAGGGTCCCAGAACAAAGCACTAGAGTATTTATAGTAAACTAAAAATATCCAGCACTCATCAAGGTTAAGTTTACAATGTCTGACATCCAATCAGTATTACCAGACATGCAAAAAGAAACACAAAAGTAAGGGGAAAAAAATCAATCAATAGAAAAATCAAATCAATAGGAATCAATCAAATTTAATAAAAATGACAGAGATGATAAAATCAGAGGACAAAAACAGTAAGAAAGTAACTGTAACTATATTTAATGTGTTCAAAAAATAGAAGAAAGAGATTGAGAATGTTAAGTAAAAATGTGGAAAATCTTTTAAAAAATACAAGTATGTACCAATTATAAAACTCTTGTCTAAGACAATTAACACATACACACACACACAGAGGATTAACAGCAAATTAAATATTACTTTAAAAAGTAAAGAACTTGAAAACATTATACTAAGCAAAATGAAACACTAATGGAAGAAAAAAACTGAAAATAAAAATGGACAGACTACCAGTGAGTTTGGGATACATGCAGTTGTAATCTCTGAAGAGAAGGAGACGTATAAGGTGAGAACAGATGAAATGGACAGAAAAAAACACATTTGAAGAAATAATTTACGGAAACTTTGATAAAAAGTATAAACACACAAATCCAAAAAGCTCAGAAGACTAAGTAGAAACATGAAGAAACCCATACCAAGGAACATCACAATCAAAATGCCTAAAACCAATGATAAATAGAACAATGTAAAAGCTGTCAGACAGGAAAAAAAAAAAGCAAAGCATTACTATATAAGGAACAAAATAAGAATGACAGCAGACTTCTCATCATAAATATGTAAACCAGAAGATGTTAGAATAGCATCTTAAAGTACTGAATGAAAAAACTGTTAACCTAGACTTCTTTTATATACATATATAAATATGAATATGTATTTCATAAAAAGAAAAAGACATAATTCTGACACATAAGCATTGAAAGACTTCATCACTGACAGACTCACACTATAAGAAATGTTAAAGTCCTCCAGGCAAAAAGAAAAAACTACCTTATGGAAATATTAATCTATACAAAGGAACCATAAAGATAGAGGTAAATAATATTTTTACTTATTTTTTTAAACTTTTAAAAAAATAATTGACTAGGGAGGCACCTGTAGCTCAAAGGAGTAGGACGCCAGCCCCATATACCAGAGGTGGCAGGTTCAAACCCCAGCCCCAGCCAAAAACTGCAAAAACTGCAAAAAAAAAAAAAAAAAAAGATAATTGACTAGCCAGGTATGCAGCGGCTCATGTCTGTAATCCCAGCACTCTGGGAGGCGAAGGCGGGTGAATTGCTAAAGCTCAGGAGTTCCAGACCAGCCTGAGCAAGACAAATTTTTTTCAGCCTGTCTATACTGAAAAAAATAGAAAAATTATCCAGGTGTCATGGTGGGCACTTGTAATCCCAGCTTCTTGGGCAGCTGAGGGAAGACGAGTGATTAAGTCCAAAAGTTTTAGGTTGCTATGAGCTATGATGTCACAGCACTCTACCCAAGACAAGTGAGACTCTGTGTCAGAAATTAATTAATTAATTAAAAGATAATTGACTGCTTAATGCAAAAATAAAACAATATTTTATGGGGTTTGTAACATGTAGAAATAACATGTATGATAACAACAGCACAAAGATCAGGAAGGGAGAAGTATTTTGTTGTCAGTTTCTTATAGTAAGCATAAAGTGGTATGTGCTATAATACACTTGAAGGTGAACTGTAATATATAGGTTTACCTCTAAAGCACAGCAAAGTTACACAAAGCAGATTAAGTACAATCAGTGTAAAAATGCTCTATGAGTCCAAAAAAAGGCATTAAATGAGAGAAAAAGGAAAAAATGGCTGGGATAAAGAGAAAATACATAGCAAGATGGTAGACTTAAACCCAACCTTGTAAGTAATCACCCTAATTAAAAGATAGAGATTGTCAGATTGGGGGGTGGGAAGCAATAACCAACTACATGCCACCTACCAAAAACCCTTACTTAAAAACAAGTTAACTTAAACTTAACTTGGTGCACCTAATGGTGCAAACTTTCCCAGTAAAGTTAACTTTAACTTAAAAACAAGTTAAAAGTAAAAGCTTGGAAGACAAAATGTCATGGAAATGTTAATAAAAAAAAAAATAGGTTGCTGTATTCATATCAGATGAAGTAGATTTCAATACAAAGAATATTACCAGAAATACAGAGGATTATTTCATAGCAATAAAGAGGTCAGTCCATCAAAAAGATGAAACAATTCTAAACCTTCATGCATCTAATAGTTTTGAAATATGTACATTAATAAAAAACTGACAGAATTGCAAGAAATAGAAAAATCTTCAATGATGGTGAGCAGTTTCAATACCTCTCTCTATAACTGATGGAACAAGTAGGTGGAAAAATCAGTAAGGACATACAAAGTTTGTAAGCTATCAACCAACTTAGGCTAACTGCTACTGACAGAACACACCACCTACTACCAGGAGAATACACATTCTTTTCAAGTGCACGCAGAACATATACCAAAATAGAGCATATTCTGGGCCATAAGACAAGTCTAAATATTCAAAATCATATAAAACATAAGTATTCAAATATTCCAATCATATAAAACATATACTCTGACCACAATGGAAATTGGAAATTGTTAACTTAAATGTACCTAGAAAAGCCTTAAATATTTGGAAACTAACACGCTTTTAAAAAAAAAATGGTGTAAAAGGGAAATAAAAATCAGAAAGTACTGAACAATAATGAAAACACAACGTATCATAGCACTAAATGCCTATATCAGAAAGGAAGAAAGGTCCCAAGCCATGGACCTCCGCTTCAGCCTTAAGGAAGAAAAGCAATTAAGCCCAAAACACAAAACCAGGAAAAAATAAAGGGCAGAGATCAATGAAAATAAAATGTTCAAAACAGAAAAAATAGTAAAGAAAATCATTGAAACTGAAAATTGGTTCTTTGAGAAGATCAGTAAAATGGATAAACCTCTAGCCAGACTGATGAGGAAAAAAAAAAAGAGGACACACACTACCAAGGCCAGTAACGAGAAGAGTATAGCACCCCAAATTCTGCGTATGCAGCAACCCAGCCTTCCGTTGCCCAAACTGGTTGCCTTATGTTGTCAGGATGGCATTTCAAGATGTCAGATTCCCTGCCTCCACAAGGAGTGACTCTAGATCCTGTAATAAAGCTGGCCTCACCCGTTGCATCAGCACAGAAGTTCTTCCTTCTCCAGCTCCTAGATGGATTCTATCTCCACATTCTATCTAGCCCTGTCTAGACCCTCCCTCTTATTTTGTTCAGCAATAAGTTCTTGCCCAAGCCTGAAAGAAGACTGAATCATTGTCCCTGTACACATTGCATTTTGCTTTGTTTGTCCATTTTCCAATTTTAAATCTTTTTTTCTGCCATCCTCCATAGTGGCATACCTGCTGTCATTTGAACATGGCTCATCCCCATGATGTTCCTGCAAGATGTTGATCCTGCAAGTCTTCAATTTGCAGAAAAGAGAAATGAGGCTTAGAGAAATTGCATAAATTACCAAAGCCATCCATATACAGAAAGTAGCAGATAAGGGATTTAAACCTAAGCCTTTCTCATACTACACCCCATACTCTTGCCAATAACTTGTGCTGCCTCCTTAATCGTCCCTGCTCAGCAGGTTTCCCTCTAGACTGATTCAGTTTCACTGATGAAAACATACTTGGGTGGGTTTGTTCAAGTTGCTATGGATCCACCAATGTATAAGAGCATTTCTCTGCTAGTGTGAGAACATCATCATCTGACTTACCAAAATGCAATGAAAAAGTGTCGATGCCATTCCCTGATATAAAATATAGTGATCATTCTATTAAAAACTTCTAAAAGAAGAAATCATTTGGTATAATTTATTCTTACTGGGGCCATGCTGTTTTGATCATCTACTTTTCTCCAGGCTCCTTCTGTTTATTCATTTAACCAGCAAATATTTCTAAAACGTCTGCTTTAAGCTAGGCAGCCTGTTGCAGCTACAGCATCGAACAATACAGCACAATTCCTTCTCCCTTCGAGCTTACAGTCTACAATACTTACAATACTCCTGTTTCATCACTGTTTCCAAAAAGCTTCAAAAATCTGCATCAAGTTCATTGGCCTGTGGCTTCCAGAATTCACTTCCCCAATTCTGGTCAATTAGGGGCAGTCCACCAAGACTTGTCTGTCCAATACCTAGTCCCTCCCTCTGATTTTACTCAGGGTGATTTCTTGTCCAGCTCTGAGAAAAGAAGGAATCAAGGTATCTAAGCCAATTATGATAATCTTGGTCCCTAATTTTGCAACTGTCCCCGCAGCCAAGATGGTCACATGACCCAGTTCGGGGCCATGTGAATCAAGTGAAAGGCAAATTGAAGGTTTTTGAGGATGCTTTTCTTTCCCAGTAAAAGGGAACAGACAGCTGGCACTGCTTCTTTTCCACTTTTTCTCCCATTTGCTGTGTAACTTAATGTCTAAGCCCAACCATACCTCCAGATTTGCTGTTATCTCTACTTATGTAAGTAGGCTACTATAATCCCATCTTTTGTTACCCCTGGGTAAATGTGTTCCTGATTCATATTTAATTTTGAGCTTGGATCTTATTGCTCAAACATAGATATATATATATATATATATATATATATATACACATATAAATGAGAGAGTGAGTCTAGAAATAGTCCCTGCCTGTGTCTCATGCTGACAAATGGCAGTGGAAATGACCTTAGACTCTGCCCTTGGGAAAAGACCTTAGGTCAGAAGAGATTTGTGGAATGACAAGGACTTCGTTTTCATTGAAACCTGCTTCATTAGGAAGTTAATCAATAGCTTCAAGTGAGAGACATCAAAGGATGATGGGAATGGTAAGGGTGGTAGTGGCTGGAAATGTCTATGACTGCACCCCACACTCGGAGTGCTCACTGCATTACCCATCACACGTATATTGGCTTATGGAATCAGAATTCAAAGTTGAACAATTCAGAGCAGTAAACAGTGACTATTCTGCCTTCTTGTAGAGAAAGCAAGATGCACCAAGGAAAGCAGGCCCAGCCTACAAATACAGACCATGATTTCCTTATTTCCAAGCTATTGCTCCCCAGGTAAATGATTTGTGATATTTTCTCTTACATATATA